GGATGGTATATATTATCACCGTACCTACATATTGTGATACAATATGATATATATTAACAGTGTACCTACATGGCGTGATACAGGATGGTACATATTAACACCGTACCTACATATTGTGATACAATGTGATATATTAACAGTGTACCTACATGGCGTGATACAGGATGGTATATATTAACAGTGTACCTACATATTGTGATACAATATGATATATATTAACAGTGTACCTACATGGCGTGATACAGGATGGTATATATTAACAGTGTACCTACATGGCGTGATACAGGATGGTATATATTAACAGTGTACCTACATGGTGTGATACAGGATGGTATATATTAACTGTGTACCTACATGGCGTGATACAGGATGGTATATATTAACAGTGTACCTACATGGCGTGATACAGGATGGTATATATTAACAGTGTACCTACATGGCGTGATACAGGATGGTATATATTAACAGTGTACCTACATGGCGTGATACAGGATGGTATAAATTAACAGTGTACCTACATGGCGTGATACAGGATGGTATATATTAACAGTGTACCTACATGGATTGATACAGGATGGTATATATTAACAGTGTACCTACATGGCGTGATACAGGATGGTATATATTAACAGTGTACCTACATGGCGTGATACAGGATGGTATATATTAACAGTGTACCTACATGGCGTGATACAAGATGGTATATATTAACAGTGTACCTACATGGCGTGATACAGGATGGTATATATTAACAGTGTACCTACATGGCGTGATACAGGATGGTATATATTAACAGTGTACCTACATGGCGTGATACAGGATGGTATATATTAACACCGTACCTACATGGCGTGATACAGGATGGTATATATTAACAGTGTACCTACATGGTGTGATACAGGATGGTATATATTAACTGTGTACCTACATGGCGTGATACAGGATGGTATATATTAACTGTGTACCTACATGGCGTGATACAGGATGGTATATATTAACAGTGTACCTACATGGTGTGATACAGGATGGTACATATTAACAGTGTACCTACATGGCGTGATACAGGATGGTACATATTAACAGTGTACCTACGTATTGTAATACAATATGATATATATTAACAGTGTACCTACATGACGTGATACAGGATGGTATATATTAACAGTGTACCTACATGGCGTGATAAAGGATGGTATATATTAACAGTGTACCTACATGGTGTGATACAGGATGGTATATATTAACTGTGTACCTACATGGCGTGATACAGGATGGTATATATTAACAGTGTACCTACATGGCGTGATACAGAATGGTATATATTAACAGTGTACCTACATGGCGTGATACAGGATGGTATATATTAACAGTGTACCTACATGGCGTGATACAGGATGGTATAAATTAACAGTGTACCTACATGGCGTGATACAGGATGGTATATATTAACAGTGTACCTACATGGCATGATACAGGATGGTATATATTAACAGTGTACCTACATGGCGTGATACAGGATGGTATATATTAACAGTGTAACTGAATGGCATGATACAGGATGGTATATATTAACAGTGTACCTACATGGCGTGATACAAGATGGTATATATTAACAGTGTACCTACATGGCGTGATACAGGATGGTATATATTAACAGTGTACCTACATGGCGTGATACAGGATGGTATATATTAACAGTGTACCTACATGGCGTGATACAAGATGGTATATATTAACACCGTACCTACATGGCGTGATACAGGATGGTATATATTACCAGTGTACCTACATGGCATGATACAGGATGGTATATATTAACAGTGTACCTACATGGCGTGATACAGGATGGTATATATTAACAGTGTACCTACATGGCGTGATACAGAATGGTATATATTAACAGTGTACCTACATGGCGTGATACAAGATGGTATATATTAACAGTGTACCTACATAGTGTGAAACAAGGTGGTGTATGTTAACACTGTACCTGCATAGCTTGATACAGGATGGAACAAATTATCACTGTACCTACATAGTGTGATACAAGATGATATATAACACTGTACCTACTTGATGTGATTCATTAAGATATACCGACAGTAGTGTCAGATATGTTACACTTTACCCCATACATGGATAAAATGGGTCATAGTACATAAATGCAACTGTGGGATTAATTGTACAGTAGTACAGTTTGTAACTGTACACAGGTCATCGAAATAGGTCCTTCCTCCAATGTCCTTGGTCAGGTCACGAGGAATCAACAGCTGATGTTCGGCGAATGTTTCGACATGCAGCATCCTGCTTAAAGTCTCGAATTTCGAATTAACCCTCATATTCAATACTGTTAACGTGTCCGGGTTAACGATGTATGTTTCCTGGGTATAGTTCTGTATGATATATTGGTATTTGGATATATTGGTATGCTTGTAAGCAAAATTGTAGTTTTAGTATCTAGTTCACTTCACAACTGCCGTCTTGTAAAAATAACTTCCGAATTTATGATTATGTATGACTATCTGTATCGGACAAACACACATGTTCCCATCCTGTTTAAGAACATATACCTTTGGTTACTTATCCATTTTAGAGTAATATTAGAGTATAGAACTTCAAGTAAATCCCGACATGATACTTATGTCAGACGTGTATGTGACACCCCACCCCTCTCCACCCCACACACCCCACCCCACACCAACAACGCACACACACACCACGCACGCACGCACGCACGCACGCACACACACATCACCCTCACCAACAGCACCACCACTACGCCAAACCCGCACACAAACACATGTGCACGCACGCACGCGCGCGCACACACACACGCGCACGCACGCACACACACACACACACACACACACACACACACACACACACACACACACACACACACACACCCCCACCACCACCCTGGAAATACATGTACATGTATTGTGTAAGTTTACTTTGGTAATATTATAATACAAACATGATATTAGCTTAGACTGACTGGCTAAGTATGGTTTTACGCCGTTTTTAGCAATATTCCAGCAATATCACGGCGGGGAACACCAGCAATGGGCAATATTAGCTTAGAAACTATACTAGTTATAACATGACAGAGATGGTTTCCGAATACACAATGCCTGTCGGGGATGTAGGAAATACTGAAGGTTATAGGTTTAAAAATATTCCATGGATTTGAATTAAAACAACCTGTAGATTATACCAGCTAAAACGTTAATTATCGCGTATATAAAACCGCATCCATGAACCAATGCCAATCATTCATAGCAATTTATTCCGTCAAAAGTCGTCGATTCACTTAAATCATGCTGAGAAATGATTTCAAAATTGGTTTTCAGGATGCGACCTCTTAAATCGTGACATGCAAATGAGTAAACGGGACAATTAATGCAGAGGGTATAAAGCTTGTTGAATTATTGCACTTGTAAAATCTGTTTGACATGATAATAATTTTTGTCAAAGGGCAGTGGCTATCTGTTTTGTTTCTTTTACCGAAAGCGTAAATGTTTAATTACTCGCATGATTGAAAATATTACGTCGTGAAGAGCAAATCTTAATTTTCTTTATTTAATAACAAATAAGCCACTTGAAAGCCCCAGCACGCTTTATAACCAATTGCTTTAAATATTTTCGTTTGAACTTAAATTCCTTCAAGAAAAGCATGATTCGCCTTAATGAGAACAAACACTTGAAGTCAAACAAAGGAAAAGTTAAACAAACATTTTTTCCATGTTCGTGGAATTCTCATAATTCCTGACGTCGCCAGTCATCAATAACGACCAAAGAATCATTACGACCCAAACGCGCCTGTGACGAACTGGCAGATAACGTTAACTGAATCTTTTATTTTGATTCCAAGAGAAATCGTGAAAAAAACTCGCTCGTGTAGAATCAAAATGGTCTTAAATTATTTCAGGCCCTTATTGTGACCTAGAGTGTGACTAAATATCCCCAAACGTGCTAAGGGTCTCACTGCCCATATTAGGAACAGTAGAGAGCGATATCTCTCTTTGCCTCTGGTTATCTAAGCTAATAAGCTATATAATGGTTTGCCTTGGGGAATGGTGGTAATATTCATCAGCAGTTTGATTGGAAGCGCATGGTTAGATGGAAACAAGATTGAACAATATAGAAATTCAGTGCGAGCGAATTGTCGTTGAGAGTATATAGTGTAATGCTGATATTCAGTCATTAGTTATTAACCACACAATGTGTATATCATTTGTTACGTTTGGAGATGACATTAAAGACTTTATTATCATCTGGGTATGATACCACAAAGACTGGGTGAGAATTGTTTTTAATTATTTTCCAGCGCTTCTACCAAAAATGTCCAGTCCATATGGGGAATCGAACGCGGTCTTCGACGTGATGAGTGAATGCTTTAACCACTAGGCTACCCTTTCGTCCCGGTTCCATAGCATTCATCTACGCGGATACGTAAGTACGTAACTGCTTATTATGCGTTACAAATTATATTGAACTTACAATGCTTGGGATGATACGAAAGACCCAGGTCTTAAGCTGTCTCCAACTCTTGAAAACTTTAAGTGCCATCTCAAAACCTTTCTTTACAAAACGTTCTATGGACTTCAATAATACCTTATTGATTGTTAGCACTATGAGCATACCTGGTGTGGAGTTTGGCGCTTTATAAATGGACACATTTATTATTATTATTAGGTCCTATTATGGACAAGGATCGAAACTGAGCCAAAAAAAAGGATTCGAAACCTTGAGTGTGGAAGCTTACCTATTTGGCCTCTAGTCAGGCAGGAAACAGGTACAGTGGTACAACCTGTGGTTGAGCAACAATTAAACGTACAGCATGATCGTCCTTGCGCATGACCTTGACTCTGCTTCTTCACGGACCGAACATTAGAAACATCTTTAAGACCTAGCTCCGTAGGACAGTTTGTAACAATGATCCATCTGTTGAGTGTTGGTTCCCTCTTTGTGAAGAAGCATTACATGAAAATAATAGGTATGTGTAGTTTTCTCTTTTATTGTACAAAATTGGACATACAAAAGTTTTTGACTTTTGTACAGACAGAACAGAAAACTTGTGCGACCCTATATGAGAACAAAACATGACTTAGTTTCCCAAAAAGCGCTCAGCAAAATTAAACAACATTTGTGAGCAGTTGTGATATCTAGTACACATTCGACCAAAACATTATACTTCTCTTCATATTAAACATTATACATATGAACACGAAACCGATACATCCCTTTATTTGGAAAATCAAAAAGAAAAAAAGGAATCCAATGATGATATTGGCATACCGACACGGGGTGCGGCGCCATCTTGAAGGGTCGACCTTGACCCTGACCTTCACCTTGACCTGCCACAAGGTCAACCTGCTTTTCCCAGCTCGTGGCCTGATACTGACCTTATCCGCGCGCTCTCTGGTGGCAGTACCAGAGTACACGTTCCGCCACTCGATGTTATCGCTTTGTCGTGGGCGCATACACATCCGGTCTCGTTGGAGGGACCAGACACACTACCGTCAACAGGCTTTGTCCTGGCGCAGACGACAAACACACTCTATGAATATCATATTCCACAACATTAGGTTTGCCGTCTTGGAAAACCACAATGTATTCACGTCCATTTCTTCCCAAAATGCCTACGGCACTCACTCCCAAATACACCAGGTCCCGTATACCGAGACGTAACACATCAAATCCAACAAAACAGATATTGATACCTCTCTACAATTGACATGAGCCTGTGCTGTTGCAAGGTGAAATCCATCACACTGGAGTTGTCCTCCTTACAATATCAATAGAGGGCGCTGCAGCGGCCTCCTTCTGCGCATGCTGGGCATGAGCGTGCATTTCCGCTGTTGTGGATATAGTATTTCTAGATACATCCCTTTGAAATGTGTAGTTCGACAATTCATGAGACGTATCGGAGATTGGCGTATAGGTGAAGTAGCTTTCGGAGCGACTTACTGAAGGATCTCGAGATCGGTCTCGCGACTGAGACCGGTCGCGAGACTGCGACCGAGGTCGTCTATACCGCCAGTTGTTCGCTCTATTGTCGTTTGTTTCAGTTTTCAATGCTTGTTGTAGCTTTTTCCTTTGTGATTGTTTGTGTTTAGTAATATATAGGTACACTGAAAACACGCCTGATAATTCAGTTAACACGAACGAGCCGACTGCCATGATGAAGGATGATCCATAATAGTATTTAAACTTAGGCTCTTCTATACTGGCCCGGGGCTTATTGCCTACCTCCTCCGTGATGCTGCCGATGTAGAGGATGATCCCGACGAGGGTGCACAGGCCTGGAAATATAATAAATAAGATTTTTCTATGCAAGTTCAGTAAAATAGAATAATAGTTTTCAATTCGAGTTCATGTATTTGACAAATATTTTCTTGATGTCTTTCAGTGGCATTTAGAAGTTGTACATTGATGTCCAAGATATTTTTATGGATTAAACTTCTTTTTTAATTTCTCTCACAACGTTTCGAGACCATTCCAGGTCCCTTCATCAGCAGTTCACCTGATGAAGGGACCTGGAATGGTCTCGAAACGTTGTGAGAGAAATTAAAAAAGAAGTTTAATCCATAAAAATATCTTGGACATAAATATTTTCTTGACATAAAACATTGATAAGGATATTCACTGAATGCCTTCAAATGCATGTTACAGCAACACTTACACATATGGCTTCATTTTAAACCTTTTTTAACGGATTTATATTCCAAATAAGGGTTATGGTGTCCACATGAAAATATACATATAAATAAAGAGTTTTGTTGATGTGTCGTAACATTTGTAGGACAGTTGAACAAAAGAACAGGGACACATATTTTGGTATTGAGACATTGATGCTGACATAGCTTCCTTTACTGACGTGCTTTGATTTGTATTCATAATTAATATAACATATCCATTTAACCTTATATTAGTAACACAGCCTACGGTATGGCGAGATTTGGCGAATTCCGTAGGACAGTCTGATTTCAGTATTGCACGGCTGCCGGATCTACATTTTCAGTACTTGAAGTATTCGGATCCTGTCGTAAACATCCACATGTAGACTGTCACATAATTTAGGTCTGACTGAACAACGACCGAACCTCTTGACGCCAACGTGTTTGCAAATTGAACTTTTCCTTGAACTAACTTTTAAAAACATTAGAAAATCGGAGGGATCTCTGAAAAGTGTCCAAAAATATTCTTTGGAACATTGAAGTTATTAAATGGAAGTTGTTTTGTGACAAATATTGTTCTGGGTTTATTTTCTTTCGTGATAGGGAACCGGACACTTGATTGGTGGCGTCAGGCGGAGGAATACGATCTCACGTATACATGTGAGATACGTCCATTACCTGCTATGTCCCCGAGTCACACTAACCTCAATGCGTAAAAACATCAATAGTGACGTTTAGGGTTAGACTAAAACTGTGTCAGGAAAAGGGCATGTAATAATAATCGAAGGCCGAGTTGTTTCTTCTACCATGACAGCCAAAGTCCAAATGCTCTATTATGACGTTCTATATACGTTTTACACGTAGTTGTTCTTGAAGTATATTACGTTAGGACCGCGAACAGGCATACAAAGGCATACATTTCATTTTATATGACAATAACGGTTCGAAAATCTTCATATTTGTTAATCCGGGCGATTTATAATTATATCTCGCATTTTTAGTATGCTTCTTCTAGCGTATGTGTGACACTCTTTTGATAGAATACGCTAATATCGATTGCTTTACGATTACTCCCTGAAATTTAATACCCCGTTTCTATCCGGAAGTTACCCAAACATGCATATAAATATATTATGCCTTTTTTCTGAAATCTATTCTATGTTTAGTCAGTGGGTAAAGCAGCTCAATCGTATTTTAGTATTAATAATTCTTCGCCATTGTTTAGACTCTGATGATGTCGAATTCAGGATGCTCCCAGTAGCATATGCCAACGGTTGTAGGTTATAATAATGGTTTGTATTTGAAGCGATACGCGGTATAGAAACTATTGAATATTATCACAAATGGCCAGCATTTCAACGATTAAAATCTAAGCATCTATGTCAGTTCTTGTGGAAAGGGCCAGAAAGTAGGTAGTTGTAGAACTCGAATGAACACAACCTGCTTTGGCAATCATACTTTCAACACATTTGAACGTCATACTCTTCTCTCATGAAACCGCTTCAATATACATTGTACCGCGTACGCCTTCGTTCATTATATCCAGTCAAACCTGACTAGCACCTGTCTAAACCTTTGCGCGTGGGATGATGATGAATAAACATGAATATAAAAAATACGGTCGAAAGCACAAAACAAATTGAAAACACCCTCAGACGAAAACTCAATAACGCAGTCGATCTCGTTCAGCGTAGACTACCAAAAGACCTGGAAATCGACATAGAAAAATTGCTTGGAACATTATTTGTCAGTCACCGTTAAGCTCTCTACTGTTATCATGACAACGGGGCTGCGCTGGCCAATAGCAGATTAGATGCGAATGTAGTCGGCATTCAGCTGCTTCTCGTTCTCAGTACACACTGGCTTTTGATCTTTGCCGACATACTGACCACAATGAGTAAGTAGTGACCACGGACGGACCTTTATGACATTCGTGTAATTACTCTGTCGCTATCACAACACACGTGTCAGGGGTATTTGTTATAAGGGTGATTTATCATCGTGTTAACGTACGATGTAATACTACAAGACAAACCACGGTGGATACACGTATTGCACCACTCCTGAAACGTGGCAATATTCATATTGGTTATCATAAGGCTTTTTACTTTGTTTCATAATATCAAAGAAACCAAATATTTATCAAGTGATTATTTTGCTGTTTTTCAGGTTTGGAATATATTGTTCTGAAATAAATGTCAAAAACATTTGTTTGCTCAAGGAAATGTGTGCGTTTGAACAGATCCAGTATTTAAGAAAAAATACAAAAAGTAGTTTGCGGAATTATTCATATAGTGGTAGAGAAGAACATGGTTTATACCATTGACACTGAAGGAAACATCATATTATAAACCATATATCAAATCAAATAACATTGATCAATTTGTCTGAGAGGTCAATGGTTCACAATACATCGAGATATATGAAACACATATAACGTTTTGCCAGAAACTGTTGTTGAAAGTGAAGAATAGATTCCAAGCAGTTGAAATTTGGAATAACCGAGAAGGGACATGTTTGTGAATCACAGACATGCATGAAGCCAAAGATACACGCAATACCCCAATCCAAATATTCAACACCCAAAAAAAGTACTAAGTTACTTCGAAAGTGTAATCCCAAAAATAACATGTACTCGCAACATGTCGTTAACTTGAAATCGGTTACCGCGATGTAGAGTTCAAGACGAAGCAATTGTATATTGTGAACAGATCCCTCAACCATCCACACTCATCGTGTCCTCGATAACTCGAAATAATCCATACGGTCTTACAGTTTATGTCAAATATCTAACTTCCCATGCAAAGTAGGCTCAAGAATGATAGCCGAGCAGATGTTTATGCCAGATGAACGTAGTTAATGCCCTGTATCTTCCAGGCTATGCATTTAATTCGCTTTAGTAATGTATGTTGGCCTTCTTTATGCCAACGGTGTGGACTCGATAGAACCCCTTGGGATCTCTTTAAGGAGAAACTGTCATATATTGGCGTTCATCTCGAATCCAAATAAAGACCAAAAATATTTATATATGCTAGGATAACTCATTCTTTGTCCAGACAGTGTTTAGTCTATATTTGCATTATTTTGTCATACAACCCAGTTCAATTTCAGGACACGGATGATACACGGTATTCATGGTGTTTTATAATGGTCAATTGCATCTGGGCTGAAATGATGGATGGGATTTAACACATGAGTGTTGTAATAATGGTACTTATTTTGAACTTTATATTTAGTATCGTTTGCAAAATATAGATACACTAAGTAATTACATATTGTGAAAAAATCCATGTAGGTGATTTAGTTTGAATCCCTGTAATATCTCACCGGTATGATTGGTAATGATTTGGTAATTTACGAGTACATCGTGTGTGAGGGTGCCTTCAAACATACGAGATATGATCCAACTATAATAATTAACTTAACCGTTTCGTTTGACTCCTGCAATTACCTTTAGAATCGTTCCTTGTCATGGGCTGGAGTTACCATACCATCGAATATGGCAAAGTACCATTGTATTCTCTACGTAAAACCTTTCGTGATAAACAATGGTTATAGAAACAACGGTCCCAGCAAAAAGTGTTGCTAAGTAACAAGTTTCCGATTGAAATAATTTCATTATATTATCGATTATGACAAATGATTTGATAATGATGGCAAGAAATAGGTCATCATCGCAAAGTTGTAATTTTGATAATCTCGTGTGTTGTATTTATAATATATTAGTTATGATGTAAAAATGCATATATCAAAATACAGATCTTACCTTTATAACATAAACTTATTGATGACATACATGAACACAGTGATATTTGAACCATGAAATACATAGTCCTTATGAAGAGCATGAAATATATAAAATATGCATATGTCCCTATGCGTCAATTATACTTGAAGATACAAATCCTTGTTACTTTTAACAAAGGATTGTAATATTCATTTCATGTAATAGAACACAAATACAAGGACCCTATTCAACATACAACACAAATTACTTACCCGCTAAAACAAATAGAATTCCACATACGAATGTTAAAATTTTTCTGCCCGAATTACAATGTCCGACAAAACACATTATTCCTCCGATCAGTAGAATTAAGAGGCTGACTAGAGGAAACATCGTCGCCCGCCGTATGTTTACTGAAAATGAAATAAAAAAAGAAAATAAATCATTAGAATAAAGCCAAAGAAGCAGTGAAGATATTCTAGGCGAAATGATTATACATAAACACAGGCAAACACTTTTTATGTAAACGTAAACAACACGTGTGTATGTATATTTTTCTTATGAAACATGATTATTCTCAATGCAAATATGCTCAAAGAAAGTGTAAATCAATATTCAGAATTACAGTTTCACTTTTACTGCATTGTTTAAACTCCTGAATGAAATCAAAACAGCATTATTGCATTTACTCAAAAAGTCGAAATGTTGTATGAATAAAAGGCAATTCTCGTATTAATGCATAGATCGTTATTAAATTCTTCCGACAGCTGGTTTATAATAGCCACAGTGAATCGCAAGCCGGGATGCTGTTCCGAGTGATAAAGGTCGTAATAGGGTTCTTCTACTCGCAGGGTCTGCCTGAATTAGCCGAAGCCTTGTGACGGAAACTGACTGCACATTTCCCATTCAGAAATCAGGCATAATCAGGCATAGGGAAGTGCATGCGTCCAGGCACTTCTCTGTTCAATCAGTAAGAACAGTCCCCAGCTAATTCTTCTGAATGATGTACTGCGCTCTTTATAAAATTATTATCTTTTCGACTCCAGTTCAACTCACTTATTCCCCGGAGAGTTTATGATTGATCTCATGTCCATGGGCACGAATTGTGCGTGCAAGATGGTGAAATAAGAACGTCAGTAAAGACGGAGAGAATTATTTTCCTGATTGCCAGTATTTGTAGTAGGAAGGATGGCATAAATACAACGGTTTTATTTCTTACACTCTTTAAATGCATCAGATACTTTAGGCGTCAATACCTTTGGTAGATTCACCAAACAAATTATGTAACGCAAGCAAATATATTGTGCGGAGCCATCTTGGATAACTTTATTGATGCCACCGACGCTCGTGTTTAGATATGCTTTATACATGAATAAATATTCGATCTTAGATTGATTTAATATTCCTGATAACTGAAAATTTTAAGTATAAGTTGTTGTTTTGAAAAGGCTATGGTAGTGCAAATGATGACATAGGTATCATGGTATTTGATTCTATTCTAGTTAACCGGAGCAAGGTCATCTTGACCTGGGCTATATGTTCGATTGCTGTGTAATAGGATTCCAAATGCTTGATTCATAAAGGCACTAAAGGACTATCCACTTTTGGTTCTAATGTGTAGGCAGTGGGAGAAGAAGTTTTAAAGGAATAGTTTGTTGACACACTTTTGTCATACAAATTCTATGATTCTCCCAAAGTTAGTTTTAACTGTTCAACATTTCATTATTTAACACTAATAATTATGCAATACCAATGTTACATTTTTATCAATTGTTACACAATGTAACATACTGTAATATGCATGTATTACTGTATTACAACTGTTTATAAACATATATAGGCATATTTGCTAATAAGTATGTTTAAATATAAACTTTATCATTGTGAAAATATTCCTGCACTGTTAAGAATATAAATTTATCCAAGGGAAATGTTACATCTCGCTTGTGCCACGGACAACAAAGACGATAATCCCAATTTGCGCACATACACGAACTAATACATAAGACACCTTTACATGTCATAGTACAATTTATAAAAAATGTCAATGGAAGTAGAATTATTTATTATGTCCAAGAGTATAGGACTCCACTCTTCGACACATGTACATACGATTTACCTTTGTATCAGCAGAACGATAATTGACTTTCCCACGTACAACTTTGTTGGAAACGAATGCATCAAATAAAATACCAATTATCATTTTCATTAATACTCATTTTACCTTGAAAACCTGCAGTTACATGTGCAATCCGATTTTAACTGTGCTACAAATTGTTGGAATATCATTCTATAAACACATAAATGGAAAGAATAATTGCACATAAAATGATTTGAGCCAATGACAACACTATTTATTGGAATGCTAATCTTCAATAGATAATTTTGCTGTTATTAACCATAACACACTGTTTGTCAGCATTAATGTATATACGATGTGCATGTTTCATCAATAACGTAGTATCCAAGGAATATTTTGATAGTGCTGATTATTTCAAATAATGTTAGAATAGTACCTTAGTTTATTTGATGACTAACACTGTGATAATGCTCTAAAATGACAAGGTGTTTGCAACAACAGGACAGTAAGGCTGTATTCCTACAATGCATAAATGCATGTACTAGTGCAAGCCAGAAGGAACCTTGCAGGTCCTGCTTTCTCGTTGCCAACATCTTGTCGTCTTAATGGGAATTTGTCACAAGCAGTTACTCTTTGTCCTCTCCAACACAGTCTCCTCGTTAAATTAGTGCACTTCTATCGATCTGTATAGTCTTTTTCAGCGACGACCCTACAACTATACCCCGTTTCTGAAATGTTTGACAGCTGTGACGGACAAGGAAATTGTGGTATGGTAATTAGAGAGAAATCTGCTTTGTAATTATACTGAAGGCTGGGGGTGTCTTGTCGCGCAGGTTTTGCATTAGACGTCGTTCATTATAATAACGCTTTGTGCATCTTAAGTGCCTGTATCGATCTAAAGCCCTTTCCAGATTTGCTTGACCTGGATAGCGCGTCTGTCTTTTAAGTACACTTTACTTAGATAATGATGAAAGCCAAAAGACTCACGGGAGCTTCAGATCTAACAAATGGTTTCACATTCAGCTGACCTGAATAATTGTCTACTTATAAACGTACATTTACCGAGTGGTTAGAAAACGAACACAGATATTAGGAATATTAAGCCGTTGATTCATATATGTTGGATATGTGTTCAAATGTATATACGGAGAATACTCAGCCGAACGTAATGCTGTTATTATCAAATATGAATCCTATTCGTTGATTTATGGTAGTAAGCTATTAGGCCTTTTGAAAGGTTACTTCAAGCTTTTTTCACATGGTATTGCAATGGCTTTTAGACTCAATGCTTCTATTGTCACCCAACCTATTCCCGTCCAAGGAAATGTAAGCCGTTCGTAAGACATGTCCATTTCTAACATAACTCTTTTATGTTTGGATGGAGGAGAAACTGTGGTAATCGTACTTTAGGATTGTCATAAGAAATTCTGACGTGGCCTTAATGTCAAGGACATTGTTAATAATAATAATTCAGAGAATAGTTGTGTTTTTAAGTAATTGCTTTCAATAGCCACGTCCACGGAGAAACTGATGATAAAGCAAAAACTTCAAGATTCATTGAATATTATCATTTCATGTTTATATTCCATTCTAGTTTATAAAACGAATTAAAATTTGCAATTATAGTTCGTAAAATGAATTGAATTTCGCTAAAGGTCAAATGGAGAATTTTAAACCACATGATTCGATTGATTGAATCTACTTAGGCTCATGTGATCTATGCTATGTCATATTTTACGTTTAAACCAGTGATTGATACCACGAGCATCGATCGACGCGATCAGGTTCAAGGACACGCAATATAACACCCAATCAATTTAGTCGCCACGCACCACAGGCATAGCTTCCTCTCGGCTCCGGGTCGGGGTCGGTATGGGGATATCCTTAACCACAACCCCCACGGGTTTCTCGAAACTGAATATGTATGTAAGTGTCACTATTAATCACAACGTCTTAACCTACATTTGCGAAATGTACTCTGGTTTATTGTATTTGGGAAAACACATTGGGTGTCATTTGCTGACAATAGGTGAATAGTTTCTCTCTCGGTGTCTTAAGATTTATTTACGTCATCACAGATGAATGCAAACAGTTTTTGTGTGTCGAAGATAAAATTGATTACTTTAGTACACGGGAACACTAGCGCCTATCAAATGTGAGTACAATATTTACATACACTAAAAAATTGATATCAATATGATATATTTTTATATACGAAGATACCATTTGAGAAAACCGTATACTTTTTGTATCGGTCCATCAGAAGGGTTAAGGTCTAAAACTTACATCATTTCCGGTATACTCGTACATCAGATTGCTGTTCAAAACGGCGTCAAACCCAACTCACTCACTTACTCCTGCTATGTAATTACTGAATGACAATGCGTTGTACTATGTCTGGATAAACCTTTCTTTTGACCAATGTGACTTTTGTTAATATGATTTCCAAACGCATGTTATCTCGAAACAACTTCCAAATCCCACTATTTCTCAAACCTGTTTAAGAACACACGATTCTCTCATTTTATCATTCATTTGCCTTCAGTTAAGCTTTTTTGACATGAACAACACATCTTTTTCAGGTTATTATAGCTGTCATAATATTTCACCATATCCAAAAACCGTATGTTCTTTATATATACTTTTTTTAGTAAAGTATGACATAATTAACTTGAGTTCGTTTGAGGAGGTATTATCCTAAATATCGGATTGCACACGTGACGTATCAGATATAGAAATCCATTGCAGGTTCCAGACACCTTTCTAAGCATGAATATTTAGAATATTCATATACATGCAACATACGTCATTCACATACGGAGAGTACGTCTTTCTCACGGACATTCTCCATTAATTAAGCATAGTATGGCAACAGAGAGTCACCTCAAGCCATCAACGTCCAGATCTACTTTCGATTTGGCTCAGTTGGTGTTCGTGTGAGAGTGCTAAACTTACACAGTATAGCGTCCGTAGGTCCCAGGCCTTCTCGGTCGTCATCCCCCGTGAAGTACTTGATATAGCTACATCTTGGCACTCCGGGATTCTGATCTGCCAATAGAAACCAAATCAAGATACATTTCAGGACGTTGGGGGTCGCTGACCCTTCATCAACCCACGCCATGTGGGTCAAAGGTCAGGTCTAAATCATTGAACACATCTAATAATAGAATAATCGATAGAACGAGTGGGGCACATATACACAGGGTGAAATGTCAAGGAACATCCCTTCGATATAACAATATGAATCGCATTTTGATGTCATTTTCCAAAATATATACTTGTGACACTGATGTCCACTACGCTACTGGTTCAAGAACACGATATGTAGAAGATTCATACTACTACTGTATACCACGTGATTCACAGAAAAAGAGGAGACAGTTGAAACGGTAGTCAAATAACAATATTGTGTTGAACGTATTACAACATATGTCATTAAACAGTCAACTGTGACTTATGTATATTAGAAAAATACATGTTACTCTGTGAACATAAATGTAAACAACGGTGTCAACAACCATGTGAACAACGGTGTCAACAACCATGTGAACAAATATGAGATCATCTACAACAGTAATTACTTATACTTCACCGGACTATATTCCGTTGTCCAAAGACTGACTGACTGACTGAGTTTGGTTTTACGCCGCTTTTAGCAATATTCCAGCAACATCACGGCGGGGGACACCAGAAATGGGCTTCACACATTGTACCCATGTGGGGATTCGAACCCGGGTCTTCGGCGTGACGAGCCAACGCTTTAACCACTAGGCTACCCCACCGCCCCCTTGTCCAAAGAAGAGTTCATATAAGAATTGTGTAATTGCTTTTTCATTAGCCTGGGTTTGCATGCCCTACAGTGCCCTGCTACAATATCTACACATGTTAATCAATATTGTGTAAATACATACTTAAAACAACTCTTGTCAGAAGATGTTTCCGAGGTATTCCCGCCACCTAGCGGCGTAAAACTAAACTAAACTCCAAGGTATTCGGTGTGAATGTACACCTTAACTAAGATTACACAACACACAACATAACTCAATATTCTTATGTCAGAAACAAATATCATCTTTACACAAAATGAAATACGTTAAATATAAACAATCGACATTCTCTGTATACGACGATTTCAAACAGTTTCACGTGCCTCTTGTTCAAAGGCTGATTGAAGTGTCACAGTTAACATCTGGATTGCATTACGTATCAGTGACAAAGATGATGTCTGATGGATTTTGACCTGTAACATAAATTCCAGAAGATTGACCTGCCTTTGCAAGTGTTTGTGACAGGTACCGCCGGTAAGGCAGGATGATATAGTAGGAATTGTACATTGGACTCTGCTTTCAGCTACTAATTCTCGTAGTTATGGAAGTGTTTTGTCGCATATATTTAACTGGCTCAATCAACACGCCGTGTCGGCATCATTAGTGTAAACCTTGAAATCCAGAGCCTAAAATGCACCAGTAGGTTAGGAGGAGAGATTTGAATGTATTTAATAATATATGAGGAATTTAATATCTCTCTACATATTAAGTTTTCAAATTACTAAATAATGTCTGCACCTTTTGCGCTAAGACATGTTCTAATGTGTTCATTCAAATATGAAGTCCTTCCTCTGGCGAATGCAGTTTAACTTGCAATGATATGATTTAGAGAGTAAATTCTTAATATCTGTTTTACTCTCTGTTTTCTTTGGCCACGGTCTGCTAGTATTTACTATTTACTTAAAATAACTAGTAATTTTAAGACGACTGAAATTTGCTTGGTGAAATTACAAGGCTGGCTGGAACGGTCTCCTCGTTCGTTGTCCACGGGCGTAAATGGTGGAGGTGAATTGAATTATCTGAAGATAGAGTGCCATGGTCGGAGGCCACACAGCCCATCATGTTATTATCACTCCAATTTAGCCTGTCAATAATGCATTACGCTTCTGTTCTATGAACTGTATATGCATCATTTGTTGGGCGGGTTCGTTAGTACCGAGAAGCAGGCAAAGATGGGCATGATTTCAAATCATTTTAACGGAATTTCAAGAACTTCATGTGCCTTGTAGGCTGTGGGAGAGGCACATGACAAACACTGCTGGTGGGGCAAAGAAGCCGTGATGTAGCATCGATAAATCGTATTGATATGTACCACTCGCTTTGAACACCTTCTGGGGGCACAACTCTTAATTTAGAAGCTGCAATATCAACGGAGAAAGGTCGGGATATCGATTTCAACCTGTGTGTGAGTTCAACCCTGTCTTCATTATAGAAACACATTTCTCAGATGGTTTAAACAAATAATGAAATAGTATGTTTTATGCCTCGTTTTGCAATCTTGTTAATGAGCGATCAGAGGTATACAGTCCTCGGATATTTGGCAATCGGACAAGTGGTCACGATGTATGAAGAGGACACTAGAACGACTAAATATCCCCCTTCACCCTCCCAAACATTGAACTAAATAGTATCCTCTCTCGGAGTATCCATAGCATAAGTGGGACATGAATACCCGGGTTAAAATTGGTCTTCAACAACCGTCTTTACCCAAGGAACTGACTGGTGGTAAGGCTATCTGCCTTCGTTGATGGATGACACCGTCTCCTATTTTGGAATCGATGCTCATGACGTCAATAAAACGAACAAACAAACAAACAAATAAAAGTATCAAGACGTTTTCATGTTCAATATATCCCAATCATTCAGCTATTCACATTCAACTCCCAAGATACCACTCATCCAAACACACAATTTACGTTTTTTGAGAAACTAAAACTGAGAGCGTAGCGGGACCCTGAACTAAATTCAAACACACAGATATGTGTCAGGGGATATACACATTAACTGTTAATCACAATACACCAATACCCTGTTGGTTAGACACATGATGTCTTCATTTAACAATGGCCCTGACGAGGGCAAATGTCTCTGTTCTCTGAAAGACTGCCTGGCCCCGTTGTTTCATGGTGACTAAACCTTTGATTTTTTAGTTGAGGCCACCATTTCTTTTAAAAATAAAATCGACAAATTTGAAGAATTAATGACAGCGTGGGCTACAAGGTAAAACTGTTTCGATTTTATATTCCAGACGAACATTGATTGCACTCAGTGGCTGATTATAATGCATGCCCGGGACTTCAAATTTTCAATAGGATTTCCATTCCCTTTTAACTTAAAATCTTTCAATCTCTAGTGACTTTGGTTTTATTGACCCGGCGACGTGTTTTAAAAGGCAGTGGTTCAATGTTATTTTGTACGGGAGAACAGAGAGCTTTTAAACGTTGTTGAGAAAGCGGTCATGTTGCTCGCGAGGCGGTGTGGAAAGAAAGGTGATAGTCGCTGTTAATTCATTTCCACTTTAGCAGACCAGACGCGTGAAATACACCGAGATGTGTTACGTCACGAACCAAATGAGTGTTATTGTAAAACTGAAAACTATCCATTGATCACAAATGATGAAATCCTGTTATTAAAGAAAGACATTTCCAAGGATGTCAATTACATTATAAACCATGACACGATGTTTTGAACATATTTTTTGTTGTAGACAATTTTTGTCCTATGAATTTTATGTTACATGAAACATTTTTCAATAGTTAAATATGCTGGACAAAATAGCAGGACATTATGAACATCATGGCCTTTGTAAACAGTGTCATAAAAACATATCCCTGATATATTTAGAATGCCCAACCTTTTATGTTTAGGGTACATGTGCAATCCATCAGAATAACTAATACAAACTTACGCAAATTTCCCCAAATATCTTTGGCACATTGCAACCAAATCTCCAAGTGGATAATTATAATATATTGTTGACGCTTTTGGAATCGTTGTCGTTTGTATGTTGCCCGGTGCGAAATACGCATATCTCGATCATCCCCAGGGTTTCGTGATAGCGAGGTATCACTTTATAGTGTCAAAAACGAATGAGGCGATAATGATAAATTGTCACAGACAACAGTCATCTATCTCTTATTGGTGTGGGATACACTGAACTTGGGTTTCAAACTTAATATCACGCTGATGTGCCTGTGGCTTTTCTTCTTTCCGTCAGTATACTTTCTTCAGGATCGTGGGTTATGTCTAGATAATTATTGCCTCCTGACACTTCTCAGAAAATGTTCTCGTTACTCGAAACCTTTTCCAAATAACACGCAAATTAATTTGGTATCGGATTAACATAAGTATTTTGCATTTCATACCGGTTTAACCTTGCGTTTAACGCAGATAGCGTGGCCATAGTGTCTGCGAGGAGACGGATGGAGACAAAGAGCCACCTATTCCGTCCTCAAGTGAAGTCAAACCAGCGGCTATTGATTATTAACAACTTCGTTTCCAAACTGTCAGGCCTACTCCCTTGAGCTTCGTTACATGGACAATTAATCCAAACGATTTGTGATGCGAGAAAATATGGTCACTTTTCCAATAAAACAACGATTCTTCAATAGATGCCTGTTCTCTGCTCAATGCTTTGGACTTCGTTTTAGGCTACCAACACAAGATGCAAATTGCCATTCAACGCCATTCGTGGTGCTAATGTTATTAATGAGAAACTGGGTTTTATTAACCATCGGATTTCATATTTGTCTTGCCGGGTTCTGACCACGTGAGTTATCAAATGACTATTGGCTGTGCCGGGTGACTTATCTTTGAGAAAAGAGATTTGAGCATTTCCTTTGTTATTGAACATCCGAAGAACATGGGCAAAGGGTCCTTTACATAGTTTATTACAACGCCCTGTTTCAGTGCCCATGGCTTGTCAATGAACTGAATGTCACAGTGTGTATTTAGATATGCATAAGTCTGTTTGACGCTGAAATGAATTCGAAGTAGATTTTACACAGGGGGTCTGTCTCTTGTATGCATAATATTCATTGATGGAAAATGATATTTGAAAAAGGATGTCTATGCAGAATAGAGCAACCGCTATGTAGTTTGAAAAAGGATGACTATGCAAAATAGAGCATCGGTTCTGTTGTTCACCTTCAATAATTCCAACTTATGTAGCGAAATAGAGCTATGGACAATAGAAAATGATTGAAAATAATTGTATCTTAA